GTGTAATCTCAGTTTTTTTCAGATAATTTCCACTTTTTTGCTCGTTTCTGTTTCTTTCAGCCTAATTGGGCAAATATGCTCACTTTACTTCCTTCTGCTAATTTAAGCTTGTTGCTAGCTTTTTAGCTTTACTTTAGCTATGTAATTTCAGCTGTTTTCAGATTAATTCAAGTTTTTGTGGTAATTTCTGCTACTTTCAGACTAATTAACATATTTATGCTCCATTCAGCTTTTTTCTGCTAGTTTAATCATTTTTTTACATCAGCTACTATTTAGCTGTTTTTATGCTAATTTTAGCTTTTCCAGCAAATTCCACTTTTTTTTTTAGCTCATTTAATCTATTTCCGCTTCCTTCTCGTAGTTTAAGCTTCTTTCTGACTTTTCAGCTTCTTTTCAGCTACTTTTTGCTAATTTCAAATTTTTTTGTTGTTGTTGCTAATTTCCATTTTTTTAAATTCCTTCTTATTTAACCCAATTCAGCAAAACTATGTTCATTCTGCTTTCTTCTGCTATTTTGGGCTTGTTCTTCAATTTCAGCTACGTTTCAGATTTTTTTTACATATATTTTTTTTTAGCTAATTTCAGCTGTTTTTCAGCAAGTTCTTTTGCAACAAGCATTCACGCTGCATTTTCACAGGAAATAAAATTTCTCTTGTTGGCATTAGCAACACAAATATGGGTTTAACTTAGTTTGACAGACTGTGCTAAAATCAGATGTGTTAGTAGCTGAAAGGTGGGAGCAATATGCCTTCAAGGACAGCTAGGCTTTTCATTTTCGTATGCTTGCACAAGAGGTACCAGCAACGCATGAGAAATGGGAAATAGTACTCCAGTTTCTCTAAATTAAAATGTACCATAGTTGCCTTTTTTACTTTTCTCTATTGTTGAAAGTTTACTTTTTTCCCCAAGTCTTCCATGTTCTTACTCTCTGATATTTCTAGTCTGGTTTGCATGTTTTTCTTGTTTCGCATCATTCCACAGACGATGCAGTCTACCTGTTCGTTGTCAATCATCCTCAACACAAAAGCCAAGTGGAGCTTTTCAAATTTGTAGAGGAAGACTTCTCGCTGATCCATTTGAAAACCATCAAGCATGAACTTCTGCACAGGTAACCTACAGTATATTCTTTAATATGATAATTACAAAGCAGGTACGTGTTCTCAGTCTCAGGCTTGTTACCATCTTTGGAAATTTTGAAGTAGTGATTTTTATTTTTTACAGTGTAAACGATATAGTTGCGCTGGGAGTGGACAGTTTCTATGCCACCAATGATCACTACTTCCACAATGAAATCCTCAAACGCTTGGAGCTTCTTCTGCTTCTGCCTTGGACCAATGTTGTATACTACAGTCCTGAGGAGGTGAAAGTGGTTTCTGACGGCTATTACTTTGCAAATGGGATCAATATCTCTCCAGACAAAAGGTCGGAGCCATCTGCAAAAAGATTTGAATGTTTTTATTTCTGTCTGAATCTTGTTGTTTTAAAACTGTCTATCATTTGTAGGTACATATATGTGTCAAGTGTATTTAGCCACGATGTGTTCGTGTTGGAGCGGAAGGAAAACAATGACTTGACTCTCGTGAAGGTAAAAGGAAGCAACATGAATGTTCACTGATGGACTTGGTTTAGTTTTCAAGAACCAGTTATTTAGCTATTGCCGACAGCCAAAAGGTGAAGCCAGCATGTGTGATCACGTGTTGGTCTGTTACCAGAATATCTCAGGAACCGCTCGATAAATGTTGAGGAAACTTGCAGAAAGTAATCTACGACTGATTAAACTTTTAGAGTCCGCTCAATTCAAGATGGCTGTGAAGTATATTTTTATCCTGATAATATTTTAGCTTAATGAAATGTGTGGATTTGTTTAACTTATTTAGTATGATATTGTGTTAGAACACAATCTGATTTCCGTTTCCGGTAGGGAATGTAGTTTTAGTTCCACACTTACAAATCCCATCCTCCATGCACCCACCATAGAACACGAGATGGTGAGATTGTATTGGTTGAGAGCTGGGGCACGTGAAGTAGAATATAGGGCTTCCCATTCATGACAGTGGTGACTCCTCCTGGGAGGTGTGGACAAGTTCTGAAGATCATGTACTCCACCCAGAAAGGCCCCTGGACCGGGATTCGATCCGGTGACCTTCTCGCTGAGGTGACAGCTTTACCAACTGAATCACCATGCCGCCTTGAAGACAACTTGTTGTGTTTGCAAAATATCTCATGAACCACTTGAAAGGATTTAAATGAAACTTTCAGGAAATGATCATTAGACGAACAATTATAACCAATTAACAGTTGGAGACCACCCAGTGAAAGATGGCTACTATAGCCAACTGACCTTAGAAAAAGTTTTTCTTTTACAGTTTATACTTTTGTTGGATGTAACTGGGAGCCTGTGTACACAATTTTGTTCCACCACATGTACCACATATGATGAAAATGACAATAATGAAACCTTGAAAACACAAAAATGGCTATAGTTTAGTTGACTTTGCAGATATTGTGCTAAATTCTAGTGCGGTTGTAGATGTGTAGTTCACAGCATTTACTCCAAGCGCTCTTCATCGCACAAACTTGAGCATTAATTGTAGAAGTCACCTGGTTTGTCTGTTAGCAAAATGTTTCATGTACTGCTGGACCTGAAGAAACTTTCAGAAAGCAATCATTAGTTGTACCCTTACAACATAAATGTTGGCCGTCGATACAATTCAAGATGGATGCTACACCTAATTGACATTTGTCAACATAAAAATGACTATAACTCAATTTTACAGACGCTGACTTTAAAACTTCATGTGATGTAGCTGAGTCGTTGAAAACTGAGTGTGGCATCTTGCAATATTGCATGAAATTGTGTGTATTTTCATGTCTTGTCCAAAATTGCTACAAATGCCATTTCTCATCGTGAGACAATCTTAATTTAAAACTTTAAACCCTCATGTCACCATTTGTTTCACATTACATGGTTATTCTGGCATAATGCAGCTGCTACAACAAACTGCTGCCGCTGTCTGGCTTGTAAAAACCACATAATTTTAATTAAATGTGAAATTAACATCAACAGGTTCACGAAACGGGGTTCAAGTTAAACTGCTTTGAGATTTCATTAAATTTTAACTGCGTTCATCAAAGACAGATTAAGGTGTGTGACGTGTTTATTAATATATCCGCTTGTGTTTCCTTACCAGTCAGTAGCTGTGGGTTCCCTCTGTGACAATATTGAAGTTGATCCTGAAACTGGCGACCTTTGGCTGGGATGTCACCCTAATGCAAGAAAGATTTTCCTGTTCGACGCCAAAAACCCTCCAGGATCAGAGGTTTGTCAGAGGTTTTAGATGTTGATGTTTGGCTTGAATGACAAAAAAAACAAAAAACTGGTTTGAACGTTTTTAATTCAATTCTAATTGCATGTTTCTTCCGATTAATGTTTTGCAGGTCATCCGCATCGAGAACATCCATTCCGATCAGCCTGTGGTCACTCAAGTGTACGCAGATGATGGTCATGTGATCATGGGCTCTTCTGTGGCGACCACCTATGGGGGGAAGTTGCTCATTGGCTCTGTGTTTCATAAAGCTTTGTGCTGTGATTTAAAGTAGTCATAAAGCTGGAGTCTGTAATGACATTTAATTACGGAAACTTAAGATTCACCCAAAAACTTTGTCATTTAAGAGATAATTAAAACCTGCAAGGTGTTTAAAGACGCTTGTGCCATTATGCTTAAAACTTTAATTTTTTTTAGTAGGGTTCTTTAGAAAGGTTATCGGGGTTAATCTAATGCCCTTGAATGACATCAGTTTGTGAAAATAGTTTAATTCTGACCATACTGACAAGCTAACAGCTATGAGTGGGCAGATATCCTGTAATCTTAGCCTCATTGAACTAGTCACTAACTTGTCAATCAAATCAGAATTACTCAATATTTCTCTAAGCTGAGGTTATTTAAATACCTACAGACAAGAGTTAAGATATATGTTTAAATTGTTCCACACACCCCCTTTGCAAAATATCAGAAGTATCTCTTTAAAGGTGCTCCAGGAGATACCGGAGGATGATGATGTTTACCTGAGCCTCAGAGCGAACAGCATGCAGCTTACTGAAATGTGATAATAAGGGACCTACATATGGAAACTGTTTACAAAAGTTAGAAGAATATATCTTGCTTTCATGTCATAAGAATATTTTTAATTGGGTAAAAGACTGAAATGTGATTTATTTTTATTTTTATTAATGTTGTAATTTTTTGTCACAGTAAATTCAGTTTTACAAAAAATAAAGGGAGTTGTGCTAACAGTTGTCCAGTGTCCAACTGAAAATGCAAGAATAACGTAATTTTCATTTATCTAACGTTTTGAAATCAGTTTTTTTTTGCCTGACGGAAAATTTTCTACATCCAGTGCTAACAGGTTGGTATCGTCATCAAGCGGTGCAAAAAGCAAATCCTACAGCAGTGGTTCCCAAACACTGGTCCTTGAGGAACACCACCTGCATGTTTTAGTTGTTTCTCTGCTCCAACACCCCTGATTCTGTGATTTTATTACTTTATCAAGTTCTGCTGAAGCCTGATAATCACCCCTTCATTCAAATCAGGCATGTCAAAGCAGGGAGACAATTAAAATATGCAGAATGGTGTTCCTCAGGGACCACGGTTGGGAACCATTGCCATAGTCTGCACGAGTCTTTGTAAATTATATATTTTCAATGTGTGAAAGACAATTCAGTAATCAGTTTTTGTTTTTTAGAATTTTTAGTAATCTATTTGTAAAAAGCTCTGCATTTTTGTCTTTTTTCGATTTTTGGCATCCATGTGTCAAACTGCTCGTTCAGGAGATTATGAGTTTGGGGTTTTGTAACTTTTATACTATTCAAATTATTTTTGTTTGCAAATAATCATCAAAGAAATCTATAAAAAAAATCTCTTCCCTTAAACATTTTCCTCTGAAGTCTATAGCCTACTACTTGTACTTTTTAGCCACTTTGTTATGTTGATACATTTAGCTGTTACCTACCCTTTTGCTGCTTTTGTTTTTTTTTTTTTTGTTTGTTTGTTTTTTTTTGCTACGTTTGGTTTTTGTTTAATATGTTTGCTTGTTACGAGCCATTTAGCGTGTTCTAATTTAAGCAATTAGTGTTGGCCTACTTCGCGGGAGATTTTTTAGAAAAACGAAAAAAATTCTCCATGTCCCCTCCGGGATTCCGTACTTTTTAGCACTCAATATTTACTATATTTTCACACACACACAAAAAAAACTGTTTTTCAGTTTGCTTTTGTAGATTTCACTGGTAAATAAATGTCACAATTTATAGTGCAATAACCAGACTTGGCCGATTTTTTTAATCAAATTTATCAGTGAACCGAGCATCGATATTAGCAATGCAGTTAAACATGTTAAATAAAATAAAAAATAATAGCTTGCTTTTTTATATATATAAACTTTATTTCAACCAAATAGCGTGCACCTTTAAAGTAAAAATGTCCGGCTTATGTAGGACGTTGACTCTGTAAAGAGTAAAACGCAACAAGAGGAGTAGCTGCCTTAAAAGGCAGAACCATCAGGTTGGTGCAGGTGATGGTCCAACATGGCTGCCATGAAGAAACTTCTGGTTTCGGCTGCTGTTGTTGCTCTGGCGGTGTTCATAGGACATGCGTTCGTCAAACTCAAGTAAGTACTTGTGCTTTTTTGTTTTTAAGTGTGACATGTTGAGGGTCACAGATCCGACGATAAAAGTAGTTTATTGCCGTTTTTTGTACCGTTTCCTTCAATAAAACCTTGCAGTGCATTCAGACTAACAACGCTGCTTTCTTCTAACCTGCAGAAACATGTCCCTCTCCTCCAGAAAAATGCCGATGAAACACCTCAACTGTCGTTATTTAAAGAATATAGGTATGCATTTTTTATAGTAAGTGTCTGTAGTTTTGGATTTATAGCGACCCATTCTAGCTCAACACTGTAATGTCAGCAGCTGAAGAGTGAAGTCCAAATAATGAAATGGGCTAAGGGTGAATGCAGCAGACTGATAAAGATTAGGTTTGACTCTTGCACCTTTCTTCAGACTATGGAGCTGAGGATATCACCATACTTGAAGATGGACTGGCCTTCATAAGCACAGTATGTTTGTATTATAAGAGAGCTGCAAAATGGTATGGTATAAATTTTATTCATTAAAAAAAAAAAATCCATAAACTATATTAAAATAAATAAAAAAATACAAGAGATTTAAAATGAAAGGCAGCAGAAAGAAGAAAAAATCTTATTATATCTGCCCCCCCCCCCCTTTTTTTCCCCCAAACAATTAGTTCAATCATAATAATAATCAAGTAACAGAAAAAAACGAATAACTCTTTCTAATTTTTCTAACTCTAATACAAAACACACTGAGCTACTTCATATATTTTTTTTTAACAATTCAGTTTTGATCTTTTTTTTTTTTTTGTAAATGTACACATTGACTTGGCAATTTTAACATCACTTTCTAGAACATTCCACAATCCAACTCCTTGGATTGAAGTAGACCTTCCCTTCAGGAAAAACACTTTTATCATTTTTATCAATCACATCATGGTTAGGTTTTATTACAAATTGTTTTGTTTAATTCTGTATAAAAAGGAGTTCATTGAAAGTTTATTTATTTATTTATTTATTAATATATATTTTTTGTTCTTTTTTTCAGGGGCTGAAATATCCTGGATTGCCATCGTTCTCTGATGAACCTGGGAAGATGTACGTTTTAGATCTGCTGCATCCAAATCCGACCCCGGTGCTGCTGCAGATGGAAGGAGAACTGGACCTCCGCTCATTTAATCCGCACGGCATCAGCGTGCACAAGGATGAAGCAGGTCAGGGCACAAAACAATCTTTCAATGCTAGAAACAGTTGCGCAGAACTGTATATTATTATTTTTAGCTGCCTGCAAAAACAAAATCATGAGATGTCAGAGTGTAGGGAATGACTCGGTTACAAACGCATTGAGTTTCAGCTCAGTTTTTGTACATTTTGAGTTTTTGCCATGACATGTTTGCTAAAATTAGTTGTGGTGGCCATCTTGAATTGGGTTTGCTCCTGTGGTACAGGTTTCTTGTATTTCTTGTAATTTTGATGATTATGGCTTATAGATAATGAAAAACAGAAATTATGTCAGAAAGATCAAAGTTCATGCTCAATAATCCAGGTAAAAAATCCAGCGAAGTTCAGTCGAGTCTTGGATGTGTTTTTTTAATTTTTTTACACGTTTCGTCCTAAATCCGAAGGACTTCAGTATCAGAAAATTTAAAATATTGTAAACCGGTTCAGTATTGGAAACTCCTGGTGTCACATCCTAATCGGCTACTTGCAGTGGGGCTTGAAAGTTTGTGAACCCTTTTAGAATTTTCTATATTTTTGCATAAATACAATATGACCTGAAACATCATCAGATTTTCACACAAGTCCTTTTTTAAGTAGATAAAGAGAACCCAGTTAAACAAATGAGACAAATATTATACTTGGGTCATTTATTTATTGCGAAAAATGATCCAATATTGCATATTTGAGTGGTAAATGTATGTGAACCTCTAGGTTTATCAGTTAATTTGAAGGTGAAATTAAAGTCGGGTGTTTTCAGTCAATGTGATGATTATCAGGTGTGAGTGGGCATCCTGTTTTTGATTTAAAGAACGGGGATCTATCAAAGTCTGCTCTTCACAACAAGTTTTGTGGATCATGGACCCAACGAACGAGATTTCTGAGGACCTCTGAAAAGGAGTTGTTGAAGCTCTCCAAAAGGAACATGGCTGCTTGTCTGCAGTTTGCTAAAGAGCACGTGGACAAGCCAGAAGGCTGTTGGAAGAAAGTTTTTTCGGATGGATGAGAACAAAATAGAACTTATTTTGGCTGAAATGAAAAGTGTTATAGGTTTGTAGGCTCAGTCATCCAGGTAGACAACAAAAGAAGGTTAGATCATCTGGTCCAGATGAAATGATTTAACCTTCTTTTGAAAAGTGTTATGTTTAGAGAAGGGAACACTCTTCATTCCTGCATAAGAACTTTATCCCATCTATGAAATGTGGTTGGTAGTATCATGGTCTGGGCCTGTTTTGATGCATCTGGGCCAGGGTGGCTTGTTGTGCAGGTTGTGCTTCTCTTCTATGGTAATGCTTTTCTTTATTTGAGCTTCGGTTGCTGAATCGAAGGGATATAATCCCAGCACATAAGAAGTTCACAGGAATGTAGTGCAAAGTCTAGTGTTACTCTTTTGATTTTATTTTTAGCTGCCTCTCTCGTCCCTCCTCCCCAACCCCCTTATGCTGCTTTAGGTTGTACTTTGTTCTTAAACACAGCCCTGCTACTAGGTTTCCTTTTACGAGGATTAGATTTATCACACAGATTTAATGTTTATCTCCTTGTTAATGTGGAGACGTAGTCAACGAAACACTGAAGTGAGTTCAATAGTTTAGTAACAGAACATTAAAGGTATGTTCACCTTTTTTAAAGTGAAGGTTTTTGGAAAATAAAAACCTCTTACCTGCAAGTTGAGATTGGAGAAATACCGGTAGTTTAAGTCCTACCGGACTGATGAGCTAACGACTAATATGAACACTGCTAACTCCAAAGTGGATTACTTCCATCTTGAACGACTCCAAGCACTTGTAGTGCAACCTGTGCCAATTCCATCAAGATTTTATTTAATTCAACCTTTTATTTAAACAGGTTAGTTCCATTGAGCCATGAGAACTCATTTACGAGACCTGATGTGTCAAGGATTTATTTATCTATCAAGGATTTATTGATTTTATTTATTGTAATTCTTTTTCGATAACCATACAGTCCCACACTGGTGGCAGTGTAAATCTTTATTAAAAACAAACATTTGCATAAACATGGTGAAGATTTGACTTGTTTTTAAAATGTCAATCTACTTTAGAAGTGGGATTTCGTAGCTACCCATCATTAAATCATCAATTTCATCCAAGCAGATCATCTCCAGAAGCATTTTTTTTTTTGCCCATTTTCTACTTGTTCTTACACTACCGTCCATTTCATGGTTATTCAAGCAGCAATATAATATTCCTGCAGGAAAATTCACGCTGCACTGACTAGCTGCTGCTGGTAACAAATAAATAACTGGTTTTAATGAAAACTTGACCGCAATGTAAAGGTTTATAAAATGTTGACAAACTCCTATTAAGTGATTAGTTGTTTTTTAAAACGGCAGCAATCCACTTTAATCAGCTGTTTCCAGACTAACATTAGCTCATTGGTCCTGTAAGACTTGAGTTTTATTTCCATCTGATGCCATTCAAAGTGTTTTTGATCACAACAAAGAGATTCACTATTTTGAACCTTGACTCGTAGCCCAATTTCAGATTGATTTGAACTATCCCTTTAAATCAGAATATGTACTGTATGTCAAAACAATAGATCCATCCATCCATTATCTTTACCCGCTTCCTTTTTGGGTCGCAGGGTTCACTAGTGCCCATATCAATCAGTCACTGTGCAAGAGGCGAGGGACACCCTGGACAGGTCTCCAGTCCATCACAGGGACACATAGAGACAAACGAGACAAACAACCATTCACTCTCTCACTCACACCTAGGGACAATTTAGAGTTACCAATCAGCCTAACATGCATCTGTGGGAGGAAACCAGAGTACCCGGAGAAAACCCACGCATGCACAAATAGAACATGCAATCTCCACCCAGAAAAGCCCCAATGCTGGGATTTGAACTGTAGCGACCTCCTCGCTGAGAGGCGGCAGCTGCACCAACTGCGCCACCGTGCTGCCCAAAATAATTAAAAAAAAATTGTTTTTCCAATGTTTCATCGCACTTAGAAGAATAAACCGTTTCTTTGCAGATGATTCTGTGTATCTGTTTGTTGTCAATCACCCTCATCACAAAAGCCAGGTGGAAATCTTTCGTTTTGTTGAGGAGGACACACTCGTGCATCTAAAAACTATAAAACACCCCCTACTGTACAGGTATATACTGTATATTGAAGCTCTTACTTTATTATTAGCTACACGTTTTAAAAGCATGTCTCTTTGTTTTCCTTCTCAGTGTGAATGACATTGTTGCGGTTGGAGCGGAGCATTTCTACGCCACAAACGATCACTATTTTCAAAACACTGCTCTCCACTTCCTGACTCTCTTCCTGGGTCTGCCCTGGTGTGATGTGGTGTACTACAGTCCAGAGGAAGTGAGGGTGGCAGCTGATGGGATTATGTCCGCAAACGGGATAAACATATCTCCTGACAAACGGTTATTATCAGTTTATTACAGCAGCTGTACGTGTGCATGTTTTCAGAGGGAATAATATATTGATTTAAAAAAAAATACCTCAAATTACGTTTTATTTTGTTACAGGTATATTTACGTTTCGGATATCATGGACCATGAAATCGATGTTTTTGAGCGACAACATGGGGAACAGTTGGTGTATGTTAAGGTGATGCATTTTTTTTATTTATTTCTTATTTTAATGTTGGCAAAACAAATGCACAAACAGTTCAAATGTTAGTGATTTAAAAAAAAAAATTATTTAACCCTTTTATACAGATTAGTCTCATGGAGTCATGAGGACTCATTTACAAGAGAGGCCTGTTTTTGACAGACAACATATAAAGTAAAGACAACAATAAACTACAGTAAAATGCAATTAAAATAGTATTATAAAACGATAAAACAAGGTGCCATAAAATAAGGTAAAATACTAAAAACAAGAACCTATTTGCTTTGATGTTTCTATTGACCTTATCAAATGTTTAAAATCCCCTAAAGATCTTATTGCAAGATGTTGCAGGAGCAGAGTAGGAAAAGGCCTTTTTGCCACGTTCAGTCTGCGCTGAGGGAACGCTGCAGGTAATGATGGTCTGAGAGCACATGCTGTAACTGCACTGACAAAGTGACGGAGCTATAAAAAGGCAGCAGACCAAGGAGGGGTTTATAGAAAAATGTACCAGTGTGAGAGTCTACGTGAAGTTAATGATGACCAATGAATAGAGTGCAGTGATGGGTATGGTAGTTACAACCAGTTATGAATCTTAGTGCACCATGATAGACAGCAACATCCAACATCCGCAGGGTGCTGGCAGGGGCATTCATGTAAATGACACTATAGTCGATGGCTGGTAGGAAGGTAGCAGTTACAAGGTGTTTTCTGGCATTCAGAGTTAAGCAAGATAGATTTCTGAAAAAGAAACCCAGTTTTAATTTCAGTTTCTTTATCAAGTTTTCAATATGTGGTTTAAGAGATGTGCATCAACCAAAATTCCCAACGAAGTATTTGTAAGAATCCACAAACTCAATTGGAACACCATGCATGGATGAGATATGAGGAAGAACTGCTGGCACCAACTTTGTTTGAAAAATAACATCCCTTTGGTTTTGTCAGCATTTAGCACCAGCATAAAATGGAATAAAGTTTCCAGTATACGCCCGCGTCCTGTCAGCTGCGCGGAAACTGCGCAGAGGGTTGAGACTTAATGTTCGAGCGTCCACCCTGAGCGGCTGCAGAGCAGCTCTGCAGACAAGGGGCGTTTACCTTCGGGACAAATTTGAGTTTGCTGATTGGTCATTTGCTGACAGGCCTACTGGATTGATTGACAGGTTGAAAAAAATAAAATAAAAACGAGAGCTGGCAGCTCCAGCCGCAGCGGTGTTCTGTGTTTGTTGTTAATAAAAAGTTCTAAAAAAAACAACAACAAAAAAAAAACGGGAGTGCTGGCCCTGCAGCCCACACATCAGACCAGCCCACCAGGAAATCTCCAGACCCTCCTGCAGCCACACTGGACATGATTTTAATTCGCTCATGACAAATTCCTTAATTTCTCACCATTTCAGTCATGGCATCAATGGAGGAAAAGATCACTTGCCTTTTGGCAAAAAAAAAAAAAGGCCAGATCAGGGATGAAGAAGGGGAATTTGGTGTTGCATACAAAACAGTCCATGGCTGGGCAGTTTATTTTGCAACACAGCGTATGCGGTCATAAAAATGGAGCTTTACACGGACATGCCCTGCGGAGTTACACACGCGGGAATATACTGGGGGCTTAAGTCAGACTGAATATCAGTGCAGACTGTAAAAGCTGGAAAATCTTGGCAACTGTATTAGCTCTACAATTAATAGTGTCGTCAGCATAGAGATGCATGCGTCAGGAATGTTTTGACTGAAGTTACTCGATTGTAAAAAGAGTGGATCCTAAAAATTGAGCCTTGTGGCACACGGTTAAGTAGCTAGATGAAGTACCATTTTTATGTCAAACATTTAGCCTCTGACCTTGGTCAAAGCTACAACCAGCAGCTTCCACTGTTAGCCTAACCTAACGGATTAAAGAAAAACAATGCCTTGTTGCTTTTGGAGGTGCCAGTAGGGAGATTTGTTGCAGTTATGCCAAATCAAATGATGTGTAATCTCCTCGTGCACATCTAGAAGCAAATGTTTTCTTTTTCACAACATTTGACTGTCGTTTCACATCTTTTGTGCTTTTCCACTGGGGTTGGGGAGGGGCGTTTGTGAAATTCATTCTCTTAAATCAGTTTGTAGGACAAGACATACTTATCAGGTTTTATCTGCCATGTATTGTGTCCTTTGAAACAGTCTGTAGCTGTCGGATCACTATGTGATAACATCGAGGTAGATCGCAGAACGGGCGACCTATGGGTCGGTTGTCATCCAAACGGCGGGAAGCTTCTATCCTATGATCTCAAAGATCCACCTGGATCAGAGGCGAGTGTTTTTTAGTAAATTTAAAATTTAGATATTTATCTTCAAATGAGTTTAACAGTATTTTTTTTGTAGGTGCTCCGGATAAAGAACATTCTCTCGGATCAGCCGGTAGTGACCCTGGAGTATGGTGATGATGGCCACGAGTTGATGGGCTCCTCAGTAGCAACAGTCTACGAGGGAAAGTTGCTTATCGGCACAGTTATTCACAAAGCCTTGTACTGCATTTTAAAATAAACTTGAATATTGTGTATCTACCAGCTTACCTGTTTAATGGTAGCAGTTTTGTAAGTAACAGTCTGCATAGACAGAATAAAAAATACTTTTTTTTTTATCTTTTCAAATCTTAAGGGTTTACATTGGCTAAGCTGGTTCAGCTAATTTGATTAAGTGTTTCATTGTGAAACAAAAGTATTCAAAAGCACAACCTCTGATATGATAGATGTTTATGACAAAGAAATGCATATACAGTACTTTGATACACAACAGAAAAAAACTTTTGCAATGTAGACACAATTTAATGTTTTCCTACACTAAGAAAAAAAAAGAGCAAAAACTAGCTCCATATGCTTGTTTAAAAAAAGTTGCTTGTTAAAGTTATCCCACACCTAAATGTGAGCCTTCCCCCCCCCCGTGCTACCTTTCCACAAAGTTTTACAAACTTTGTTTAGAAATTTTGGACAAATGCAACTGAAATCAGTCTCACTATTCCTGTTGGGGGAATAAGTATCACTTACCCGTTTTCGTGATTATCTGAAGACATATCGTTCTCTGCCACTTTATAAATTGTAAACCTAGTCTCCCCACCCTTAGGATGCTGCACTTTCTCCTCCGTTTCATCTTTGGCTGGTACAGAAAAAAAGATCGGTTCTGATTCAGAAGACCTATTACTCTTGGTCTCCCCATGGTCCTTTTTGACGCACGCTGTCAGCTCAGGTTTTTTGACACTTTCATGTCTCAAAAGATTCTCCTTTTCTTGCTCAAGGTCATTGTCGCCCAACTCCGCGCTCACAAACACGTCGTGAAAACTGAAATTTCGTTTGTGCAGCGGCGAGTGCTCCAAAATGGGAAGGTTGTTGGCCAAGATGTCGCTGCAGCTCTTTGAGCGGTTTATGCTGTCCACCTGCTGTTTTCTCCTCGCTGCTAACCCGATCTTCTTGATGACGGTGCTGTAGTCGTCGTCCTCCTTAGAAAGATAGCTGAAGATGTCGACGACTGTTTGCTTCTGATCCAGGTGTTGCTTCTCCTTCTTATGCTCTGGCTTCTCGTCGTAGGGGTGTCTGTGCCGATGTCTCTTTTTCTTCAGCACTTTGTGAGCTTCTACAACCATATGGACGTTCCAGCTGAAGAACAAGGACAACCAGGCGAGTCCCATGTAGATCCACAGCTCGGCAAATACCCTGTAGAGCCTAGGGTATTCTATGTCTGGATTTACACCTGAAAGGAGAGGATATGCTCAAGCATGCATTTCTTTTCACAATACAACCCCCCCCCCCCCCCCCCCCCAATCAACTTTTCAAGAAAAAGCCCTTACCTGTCACATAATCTCCAAAACCAACTGTTGTGAGTGTAATAAAGGAGAAATAGATGCCTTCCAAGTAGCTCCATCCCTCCACAACCATGAAAATAAATGGAGGGATCACCAAGTGAACCAGCAGCCCCCATAAAAGAAATAAAGCTGTTAAAGTAAACTGGATCTTTTTCTGGGGAATAAAGGAGACAAAATTATTGTTTTGAGAAATTGTTTGTTTCTGTGCACAATTTTGGTATCAACTGGATTCTTACCACTGTAACACCTTTCCGGATCAGAACTTGAGACAGACGTTTAGCCCGGTCACCAAAGAAGGAACCCAGTGTGCTTAACCACACCAGGCAGAGGGGGATCCCACAGAGGCCATACAGGATGCAGAACACTCGCCCACTTTTGGTCTTGGGAGCAACATTACCATAACCTAAAGATTAGATTGGAGAGAAAATCAGGAGGAATTAAAATTTTAATATGGCACAGCACGGGTTACTCGTTTGATCAGTCCAATGGACACCCACTGCCTCCCACACTGAGTTTAGATGATGGTGAAACACGCCAAGCATTTCAAGGATGGAAAAGACAGGAGTGATGACAATATTTGTCATTATGATTATTAAACTTTTTTTTTTTTTAATTGCATGTGGTCAAATATGTAGCCAGAATTGGGTTAAAAGGGTGGTTTGGTATAAAAATGGACCAGACCAAGCAACTCCATTAGCTTCTACTGTCTTAAATGTATGTGTTTTGGTTGTCATGTTGTATTTTTAGAACCATGTTTGTTCCTTTAGAGATAACCTTTGTGGCTTCAACTTCCAGCTTCTCGCCCCGCCATGGGCCGCTGTGGTTCAGTGGTTGAAGTTGTCATCCAATGGAAGCGTTGAAAGCAGCACTTGGCAGTATGCGATCACATGTCCAAGTGTTCCTGGGCAAAACACTAAAGCCCTCATTGTGTGCCCCATTGGTGTATGAATGCCATTTAAAGCACGAGTTAGACTTTAAAGAAGCATTTATTCAGATTAGTTTTGTAAAGCACTTTGAGTAGCCTGGTTGGCAGAAAAAACATTATTTACTTAGTTACGGTATATGTCTAAGTGGGTCTGAGTAAAAGTTGAATGGGGCATACACAGATTGGTGCAGCTTCTGTACTATTGCATAATCTTTGCTGGTCTGTTGTGGTGAAAAGACCCATTTGAAGTGGTTTGGGCATTTGGTAAGGAATGGGACTGGTACAACTGGGAAGAAACCTTGGGAAAGACACAGGACACGGTAAAAAGACTTGGCTGGGAATGTCTTGGAATTCTGGACGATGTGGTTGTCTGGGTCTCAGGCTCACCCTCACCGCGACTCCACAACTATCATAGTAACGGATAATTACACTTCATCTTTGTCCCACAAAGCAAGGTAGTAACAGAGGTGAAACTGCTGACAGTGCAGCGGATCAGTAATGTGATGAAGTGATTATACGTAGTCTGTGTGACCACCCAGGTGCAGGATTAAACAAAAAACATTACTAAGGGCATTATGCTGATGAGGCACAGTAACTTTGTATTGTTTTAAAAATTTGTAAACCAAAGAATTGCTAAAATGAGTTGATTAAACATGCTTTTCAAAACAGTATGAGGCAGACATCTGTCACATTTAATGCCGTGTGCTCCTCGTCAGCCCAGCTGAGTTCTGCTTCATGCCTCGTTTGGTTCTGCAAAGTTTGCTTCATCTTAAGCTTGCATTGGTGCTGGACATGGTGGACAGACTCCATCTGTGATTTATGAACTGCTAGAGGGAACATGAAGACAGACTGGTCTGAGCAGGTATTTTGCAGAACTGCTTTATGAAAGAGCCTGAGATTGCTAGATGAACACAGAAATGCATATGGGTCTTTAAAATTCTCCCTAGGTGTCAGGTTCAAGAAACAAAACAGTTTTTTTTTTTCATTCAACCTTTATTTAGACAGGTAATCCCATTGAGCCTCGAGGACTCATTTTTCAAGAGAGACCTGATTTCAACAAAGAAAGATGACAACAATGGACAACAGCAACAACAATAAACAATTATAAAACATCATAATGCAGTGGGGGTTTTTTTACAAATAGGATGGCTAAAAGAAAAAAGGTAACAAAAAAACAGCTAGATTCTAAGGCGAATGTAGAAAACTAATAACAGGAACATGTCTGCATTGGTCCCTGGCAGGAGTCCAACAGATTCTTAAAGCCACTTAGAGAGGTCAAGGTCGAGAGCTTCAATTGTTTTTGTAAGATATTCCAGGAAACAGGAGCGGAGTAGGAGAAGGCCCTTTTGTCTAGTTCAGTCCTCATTGAGGAAACACTGCAGGTAATAATGTCCTGAGAGCACACGCCGTAGCTGCACTCATGCAGAGACATGTAGGAGGAGATGTATGAAGGCAGCAGACCAAGAAGTGATTTAAAGATGAAAATGTACCAGTGAGAGAGTCTGCGTGAAGTTAATGATGTCCAGTTAACCAGTGAATACAGGGTGCAGTGGTGAGTACGATAATCACAGCCAGTTATGAATCTTAGTGCACCGTGATAGACAGCATCCAACATCTGCAGGGTTCTTGTAGGAACGTTCATGTAAATAATGTCACCGTAATCAATGGAGGGAAGGAAAGTCACAGATACAAGGCATTTTCTAGCATTCAGGGTTAGAAAGGATCTGTTTCTGAAAAAGAAACCCAGTTTAACTTTCAGTTTCTTTACTAAGTTTTCCACATGGAGCTTAAAAGAGAGATGCGAGTCGACCAAGATACCCAAATATTTATAGGAATCAACAAACTCAATAGGGACACCATTTGAGGATGAAATCAGAGGAAGAACTGCTGGGACCAACTTCCTATTTGAAAAAAGCATCCCTTTGGTTTTGTCGGCATTTAGGACAAGTTTGAGGCGGAACAAATCTGTCTGGATGTAGTTGAATGCAGATTTCAAAAGCTGGAAAGCCTTAGCAACAGTTTTAGCTCGACAATAAACAACTGTGTCATCAGCATAGAAATGTATGGATGCATTAGGGATGTTTTTACCTACATTATGTATGAAGATTGTAAAGAGGGTGGGTCCTAAGACGAAGCCTTGTGGTACACCATTGTTTACTGTTAAATAACTGGAGGAAGTACCATTATGTTGAACACATTGCCTCCGGTCTGAAAGATAGTTAGAAAACCAACCAATGGTGTGTTCTGAGAAACCGATTTCTGAGAGCTTATGACACAAGATGTTATGATCCACAGTGTCAAAAGCTTTAGACAGGTCTAAGAAAAGTGCAGCACAATAATCCTTAGCATCCAGTGCTTCGACAATGTCATTAAAAACCTTCAGTGAAGCAGTGGTTGTGCTGTGTTGTTTCCTGAAACCAGATTGATGTGGAGGTAAGATGTTAAATGAGTCCAGGTAATTTTGAATTTGAGAGTTTATCAGTTTTTCTAGAACCTTGGCTAAAATGCAGAGTTTAGAGATTGGTCGATAGTTGTTCAGTGAGGTGGGGTCACCTCCCTTCAGCAAAGGAAGAACAAAGTCTGTTTTCCAAGTGTCTGGGATGGAGTTTTGTCTTATGGAGAGATTGAAGATGTGGGTCACAGGGACTGTGATGATATGAGCAGCCAGCCTTAAGAAATAATTTATGTTTCTGACTGCTAAAGCCTTGGGACCCTTTGTGCCACCACCCATTGTGTTACAGCCAATTCAATTCAGTTTATTTATATAGCATCAAGTCATATACATATATATATATGTGATAATAAAATTATTTATATGAAGAGCAGACTGCTTTGAGTTAAACTCCATCACAGAACTCTCATCGTGAGCAAGCATGAAGGCGACAGTGGAAAGGAAAAACTCCCTCACGAGGAAGAAACCTTTAACAGAACCAGGCCCAGGACATGCAGCTGTCAGCTTCAACCAGCTGGGGTTGAGAGGAACAGGAAGGAAGAACAGATACACAATGGCAGGTTGAGAATCACGTAAAAAAAAAAAATTCAAATGAAATCTATTCATTTTTAACTATTCATTTTAAGAAATTAGGTCAATTTGTCCTCTAGTAGTCTAAGCCTATGGCAGTATAACAAGCCAACTATAACTATAGGATTGATAAAAAGGAAAGTCTTCAGCCCAGTCTTAAACTGGACAATGTGTCAGCCTCATGGACAGAAACTGGAAGTTGGTTCCACAAGAGGGGAGCCTGATAACTGAAAGATCTTCCTCTCATTCTGCTTTTAGAAACTCTAGGAACCACAAGTAAGCCTGCAGTCTGAGAGCAAAGTGCTTTGTTAGGAAAATATGGAACAATAAAAACTCTAATATAAGATGGAGCTAGGTTGTTGAGGGATTTGTAGGTTCAAAGTAAGATTTTGAATTCAATTCTGAATTTAACAGGGAGCCACTGGAGAGAAGCTAAAATCGGAGACATATGCTCTTTCAAGCCAACTCCCATTAAAGCTACTTCTGTACACAACTGTGCCTTACAGTTTCAGAACACATTGCTCTTTGTTTTGTGCAACTGCAATATTTGAGGTTGGCCAACAGATGGCGCCATATGAAATGTATAATTTACTAAAATGAAGCTTTTCAAACCTACAGCTTCAAATCAGTGGTTCAGACCAGAGCACTTTGGTTTCTCCATCATTAATGGAACCTAAAATGCTATGCGCTTAATAATTAACCAACACACGTAAGTGTGTTCTTCAGTAAAACCCAACAGAACAAAGGTAGTGGTTTAGTACCTATAGTGGTGACAATGGTGGCAGCAAAGACGACAGAGTTGCTCCAGTCCCATGTGTTGCGGTGATTGTCTCCGGTGATGGCCACACCTTGGCCTGCGGCCTCTGACGCAATCTGGAGCGTAAACACAGGAAATGTCATGTTTTTAAAAAAAACTATAAGTACTTTTACTTTTCCCTAACAAGCCTTGACCAAAAGAAGAAAAGAAAAGTATTCAGGAATGTGCACAAAAAAGTTGTATAATGTCTCAGACGCACCTTTTAGAAAGCATGTCTGAGCATGCTTTCTTTCACAACAAATGTTTTAAACTTCTTTAACTCGTGCTTAAAAGGGGAAGAAGAAGTTGCAGCTGTTGGGTAAAGTTTTTTTTTTTTTTTTAAACCAGCCATGGAAAAAACCAGTTGTCCCCCAGTTACCAGGCTTTTTTTTATAGGCTGCTGTTAGTCCAGAACACAGAGAGCGAGCAAGAGAGACCAAAACTTACTGGCTGGTTTTTTTTAAATCATTTATTTTTAATTCAAATTAGTTTCCTGAGCTTTTAGGTGCGCTTAAAGACCCTCCCTTCAGTTTTGTGTCATACCTCCAGTATCTCATCGAGCCCTTCTTTTGTGAGGCAGGTAAACCTCGCCAGGATGTCCTCCTTCTTGCTGATGTATGCGTCTCTGGCGGAGATCCAGTTGGGCTCCTCGAGGATCTGAAATATCGCGGCTCCGATGAACAGGTAGAAAATGATACAAGAAGTTAGGAATGGACCTTTGTCGGCCATATTAAAGCCATAACTTCAGCCTGGGCCGCTCATTCACCCCCACTCCACACGCACGCTGCTGTGGTTGAGATCCTTCCTGGTTTTAATGAGCTGCCTGCATGGCAGCTCCCAGAAGGAACACATAAAAAAACAAAAAAGTCCCGCAGCGTGGTTCCGTTCACACTGAGAAACGTTTCTTCTTTTAAAGTAAAAGCGTTAAACTCATGACAGTCTCAAGATCAACACGTGACTTAAACTAGCTTAATAAATGATGACTCTGAATATTCTTTAAGCGGTTTAAAAAACATTAAAATAAATCTTAGTTTAATTTTTTTTTTTAAATCAAAGTAACAATTTTCATCTAAATAAGCAAAAGACTAGAGAGAGATCAGGAATTAGCAACCCTTGAAGGAATGCGCATCTATCTGTCAAAAATGGTGTACCACAAGGCTCAGTCTTAGGACGCACCCTCTTCGCAATATGTAGGTCAGATCATTCCCTGATGCATCCTTACATTTCTATTAGCACAGCTGCTACGTTTTTCAGCTCTTACAGTCTTATGTGACTAATCTGTATAAATAAAGGTTGAATGAACATTGCCCGCCGCCTGTCATGCCACAGTTTTAGACTAAAGGCTGTAGCTGTTTGAGTCAAGCCTTTAAAAATAACTTTATACATACTGTCATTGGGAAATGTTATTAAGTTTGTTTTGTGAATGACTCCTTGCTGCTACCACACCAAATTCCAGCTCAACATCTGTAAAATTACCAGACCTATAGACATTTTTGTGCTTGCTGGTTTTGATTAGCTGTTGCAGCCATTTTGAATTAAATTGACTCGAAAAGTTAATCATTTGCAGATGTGCACCCAGTAATTAATTTCTGAGGATTTCATTAAAATATTTCCAGTAGTTTATGAGATATTTTGCCAACAGACGATAAGTGACTAGAGTAGTTGTACCTCTAAAGACTAAAGCAAAGATATAAGATAAAGAGTAACACTACGAGTATTTGTTGTGAATGATGCTAAAGTTCAACCACACCAAGTTTTAGCTCAATATCTTTAACTCTGGCTGACTCACAGCCATTTCAGTGTTTAATGAGGTGAGTTGGCTGTGGTAGCCATCTTGAGTTGTCTTGGCTCCAAAAGTTAAACAATTGTAGAAATACATCCACTGATTATTTTCCTAAAATTTCACCATTATCTGGCCAGTGGTCCACGAGATATTTTGCTAACAGATATAAAATTACCTGCAAGTACTAAATGCCAATATTTTTCGGCAAAGATGTGACAATGTTAGTGCTCAGATTATGTGTTAGGGATCAGTCTCAGCTACTACCACACTAAATCTTAGCACAACATCTGCACATTTGACTGAGTCATGTGTAGTTTATATAGTTCTGAATGGTCATCTTGATTTGCGTTTACTCTAAAAGTTACAAGTAGTTGTACATCCAGTGATTACTTTCTGAAAGCATCGTTAAAATTGGTCCACTTTATAAGATATGTTGCTAGTTGACGCACAAGCACCGTCAGACACACAGGCGACAACATTATCACTTGGCCTCTGTCTTTCAGCTGATTATAATGGGACTAATGTGATTGATTCAAGTAACAGAGGAACCAGTTAATCCTGATTTTTAAAAAGTGGGGTGGGGGCAGATTCTTTCCAGTTTCTCTCACACAAATGGTGAAGACAAAAGAGTTTCCTGAGAGCAACACTAAGGGCCTAAAGACAACAACAACAACAAAAACCAGCGAAGGATAAAGCAGTGACCACAAGACCTTGAATTACTGGTGTTGACATTTTTTTATGCTCAGGAGAGCCTTAATGACAGAAGCTTGTGCTAAAAAAAAAACAATTGCCAAAATGTTCAGTCTGAGTCATAGCTGAAAGCTCTGCGGCCCAAAAGGACACGAGTATATAAAAAAAAGGGCAGGAAAAAGTTCAGCTTCGAGCCATAACTATGGGTACACTGAGGAACAGGGCGGAGCTTAGTTCACAAATAAACACACACACACACACCGCAGACACATCATGTGGATTGTTTTAATGGGTGTGTTTCGATGCATCTTGAAGCAATGATGAATGGAAATTTACACACACACCCATCCATTATCTACCCACTTCTCCTTCCCGGGTCACAAGGGGGGGTCGCTGGTGCCCATATCCAGCTGTCACCGTGTGAGAGGCGGGAGACACCCTGGACAGGTCCAAAGTCCATCACAGAGACAAACAAGACAGACAACCACTCAAACTTAGTGTCAATTTAAAGTTACCAGTTAACCTAACGTGTGTGTTTTTGGTCTGTGGGAGGAAACTGGAGTATATGGGGAAGCACGCGTGCACAGCTTAAAGGCCTCGGGCATCCTGAGGCCTTCTCGCTGAAAGGTCTAACCACTGCACCACCGTGCCACCCCTAGAATTTTACCCAATGGATTATAACACATTTATATCACCAGGGTACTTCAGTAATAAATGGTCTGCATCATTGAACAGACTGAAGCGCACGTCTTCCATCCTGTGCACTGAACCGTGCGGTGCAGTTATTAAACTGACCAACAGAGGGCAGCACGTATTCACTCAACACACAGGAAAGCAAGGTTTGAATTTTTCTGAACTTAGTGTGGATGCAGAAGTTCATATCTTCATGTTCAGCCTCTGAGAAGTGAAGAGTGCTCAGAGTTGATCTCTCTGGGTGGATCCTGGCTGCTGAGTGTGATAATGGACCGAGGCGTTTTCACACACAGTCAACATGTCTGCTGCTGAACGTAAAGCTCCAAAGATGTTCATTGTTTCTCAAGCTAATAAGCTACCTATATGTCTCTTAAAGACAACAACAATAGAAAAATATTGGTATTTGATGAGTAAATGGTTAATATCATCAAACAGTTAAAAATCATGCACTTTTTTCATTTTTGTTTACGATCAAATAATTCTGGGTCTTTTGTTGTTAAAATCTGAATTAGAGTCATAATTTTGGCCACATGTGTAAAAACACAAGAAATTTATTTTAATTTATTCAAGTAGTATAAAACAATTCAATACTTACACACAAAGGCTTATTCACAGACATTGCACAGCTATACCAGCAGTGTGCTTTTAGTCATTAAGGTGTGAGTAACAAAGATGTAACAAGTAATCTAAGATGTAACAAGTAATCTAAGATGTAACAAGTAATCTAAGATGTAAGAAGTAATCTAAGATGTAACAAGTAATTTAAGATGTAACAACAAGTAATCTAAGATGTAACAAGTAATCTAAGATGTAACAAGTAATCTAAGATGTAACAAGTAATCTAAGATGTAAGAAGTAATCTAAGATGTAACAAGTAATTTAAGATGTAACAAGTAATCTAAGATGTAAGAAGTAATCTAAGATGTAACAAGTAATTTAAGATGTAACAAGTAATCTAAGATGTAACAAGTAATCTAAGATGTAACAAGTAATTTAAGATGTAAGAAGTAATCTAAGATGTAAGAAGTAATCTAAGATGTAACAAGTAATTTAAGATGTAACAACAAGTAATCTAAGATGTAACAAGTAATCTAAGATGTAACAAGTAATCTAAGATGTAACAAGTAATTTAAGATGTAACAAGTAATCTAAGATGTAACAAGTAATTTAAGATGTAACAAGTAATCTAAGATGTAA